CACACAATACCCCGTAATGACAAAGAAAAAACTGGTTTATAGAAATGTTTGCTAATGTATAAAAAAATAAATAATGGGAATATCACATTTACATAAGTATTCAGACCCTTTACTCAGTACGTTGTTGAAGCACCTTTGGGAGCGATTACAGCATCAAGTCTTCTTGGGTATGACGCTACAAGCTCGGCACACCTGTATTTGGGGAGTTTCTCCCATTTTTCTTTGCAGATCCTCTCAAGCTCGGTCAGGTTGGATGGGGAGCGTTGCTGCACAGCTATTTTCAGGTCTCTCCAGAGATGTTTGATCGGGTTTGAGTCCGGGCTCTGGATGGACCACTCAAGGACATTCAGAGACTTGTCCTGAAGCCACTCCTGTGTTGTCTTGGCTGTGTGCTTAGGGTTGTTGTCCTGTTGGAAGGTGAACCTTCGCCCCAGTCTGAGGTCCTGAGCGCTTTGGAGCAGGTTTTAATCAAGCATCTCTCTGTACTTTGCTCCGTTCATCTTTGCCTCATCCTGACTAGTCTCCCAGTCCCTGCTGCTGAAAACATCCCCAAAGCATGATGCTGCCACCACCATGCTTCACCGATGGGATGGTGCCAGGTTTCCTCCAGACGTGAACTTGGCATTCAGGCCACAGAGTTCAATCTTGGTTTCATCAGACCAGACAATCTTGTTTCTCATGGTCTGAGATTCTTTAGGTGCATTTTGGCAAACTCCAAGCGGGCTGTCATGTGACTTTTACTGAGGAGTGGCTTCAGTCTGGCCACTCTACCATAAAGGCCTGATTGGTGGAGTGCTGCAGAGATGGTTGTCCTTCTGGAAGGTTCTCCCATCTCCACAGAGGAACTCTAGAGCACTGTCAGTGACCATCAGGTTCATGGTCACGTCCTTGACCAAGGCCATTCTCCCCCAATTGCTCAGTTTGGCATTATCAGTTTTATACAACGGTTTACCAACATATTTAAATAATGATCGACATATTTTCATAAAAAATGTAATTTTGATGAATTGATTCGTACTATTTCACCTACGTGAGAATGCTATTCATTGACTACAGCTCAGCATTCAACAACATAGTGCCATCAAAGCTCATCACTAAGCTAAGGATCCTGGGACTAAACACCTCCCTCTGCAACAGGATCCTGGACTTCCTGACGGGCCACCCCCAGGTGGTAAGGGTAAGTAACAACACATCTGCCACACTGATCCTCAACACGGGGGCCCCTCAGGGGTGCGTGCTCAGTCCCCTCCTGTACTCCCTGTTCACCCATGACTGCATGGCCAGGCACGATTCCAACACCATCATTAAGTTTGCCGACGACACAAAAGTGGTAGGCCTGATCACGACAACGATGAGACAGCCTATAGGGAGGAGGTCAGAGACCTGGCCGTGTGGTGCCAGGATAACAACCTCTCCCTCAACGTGACCAAGACAAAGGAGATGATTGTGGACTACAGGCAAAAAAAGAGGACTGAGCACGCCCCCATTCTCATCAACGAGGCTGTAGTGGAACAGGTTGAGAACTTCAAGTTCCTTGGTGTCCACATCACCAACGACCCAGTCGTTCAGTCTTTTTGTTCTGTATCTATAGACGCGACCCAGTCGTTCGTTCTAAATGTTCCATTGCCATACTGGCTGGCAACGTTCTTATCCCTTGCTTGCTAGCTAGCCAACTATGGCTAACTTATGGTCACGTCAAAAAGTTCAGCCAGAATAACAGCAAAGTAGCTGCATTTGCATTTGTTTAAGCTGTTTTCTAGTGACATTTATTTGGATACATCCATAACAATGAGCTAATGAGGCGCAATTTCGCCTGGCATAGAGAATGTGCTCAGTGTTGTTCAGAGGAGCTAGGCAACAACACAGCTACAATAACACAATCACTTCAAACTCATGCTGGAAAGACTGCAAATTAGCTGCGTTTTGCTTTACCTTTTTTCAATGGGCATTGTTTTGTATATATCCATCAAAATGATGCCAGCTGATTCATGATTTCGAACGGCTGAGAAACGCTGCTTGCCTTTCTGTCTCGTCCCGACTACCGACACGTTCAATACTATGGGACAGCAGGAGATCAAATTTGAATATTGAAACAATGTTGCAAATGTTGGAGAGACAGATAGCAAGGTTTATAAAAATTTCAGCTGTTGAAAACTAAATGTTAGTCTAAATGAAATGTGAGATAATGTCTAGATGCTTTTTATAGTGGAGATCAAGTTTATAAAGTGCCTGGCTGGGCTGATGAGACAGTGGATTGCACAGTCAGATGGAACTGTGTAAATAGGCATTTTATTGTCATCGATTTAGCTGGTGGTAACTTGTGGAATAGACACCGGCTGGAATGCGGTTTTAACCAATCAGCATTCAGGATTAGACCCACCCATTGTATAATGGAGGCCACTGTGTTCTTGGGGACATTCAATGCTGCAGACATTTTTTGGTACCCTTCCCCAGATCTGTGCCTCAACACAATCCTGTGTAGGAGCTCCACGGACAATTCCTTCAACCTCATGGCTTGGTTTTTGCTCTGACATGCACTGTCAACAGTGGGACCTTATATAAACAGGTGTGTGCCTTTCCAAATCATGTCCAATCAATTGAATGTACCACAGGTGGACTCCAATCAAGTTGTAGAAACATCTCAAGGATGATCAATGGAAACAGGATGCACCCGAGCTCCATTTCGAGTCACATACCGCTTTCCATGCAGTAGCAGAGAGAACAGTCTATGACTTGGGTGACTGGAGTCTTTGACAATTTTTTGGGCTTTCCTCTGACACTGCGAAGTACAGTGGGGAAAAAAAGTATTTAGTCAGCCACCAATTGTGCAAGTTCTCCCACTTAAAAAGATGAGAGAGGCCTGTAATTTTCATCATATGTACACGTCAACTATGACAGACAAATTGAGAAAAAAAAATACAGAAAATCACATTCTAGGATTTTTTATGAATTTATTTGCAAATTATGGTGGAAAATAAGTATTTGGTCACCTACAAACAAGCAAGATTTCTGGCTCTCACAGACCTGTAACTTCTTCTTTAAGAGGCTCCTCTGTCCTCCACTCGTTACCTGTATTAATGGCACCTGTTTGAACTTGTTAGGGTTAGGGTTAACCGGTCAGGATGCTCTCGATGGTGCAGCTGTATAACTTTTTGAGGATCTGGGTTACCCATGCTAAATCTTTTCAGTCTCCTGAAACGACTGTCTTGGTGTGTTTGGACCATGATAGTTTGTTTGTGATGTGTACACCAAGGAACTTGAAACGCTCCACCCACTCCACTACAGCCTCGTCGATGTTAATGGGCCCATCAGCTCCTTGGTCTTGCTCACATTGAGGGAGAGGATGTTATCCTGGCACCACACTGCCAGGTCTCTGACCTCCTCCCCATAGGCTGTCTCATCGTTGTCAGTGATCAGGCCTACCACTGTTGTGTCATCAGCAAACTTAATAATGGTGTTGGAGTCGTGTTTGGCCACGCAGTCGTGGGTGAACAGGGAGTGCAGGAGGGGACCCAAGCACGCACCCCTGAGGGGCCCCAGTGTTGAGGATCAGCGTGGAAGACGTGTTGTTACCTACCCTTACCACCTGGGGGTGGCCATTCAGGAAGTCCAGGATCCAGTTGCAGAGGGATGTGTTTAGTCCCAGGGACCTTAGCTTAGTGATGAGCTTTGTGGCACTATGGTGTTGAATGCTGAGCTGTAGTCAATGAACAGCATTCTCACATAGGTTTTCCTTTTGTCCAGGTGGGAAAGGGCAGTGTGGAGTACAATTGAGATTGCGTCATCTGTGGATCTGTTGGGGCGATATGCAAATTGGAGTGGGTCTAGGGTATCCAGAATGATGCTGTTGATGTGAGCAATGACCAGCCTTTCAAAGCACTTCATGGCTACCGACGTGAGTGCTACGGGGCGGTAATCATTTAGGCAGGTTTCCTTTTCTTCCTTGGGCACAGGGATTGTGGTGGTCCACTTGAAACATGTAGGTATTAGTGACTCGGTCAGGGATAGGATGAAAATATCAGTGAAGGCAATTGCCAGATGGTCCGTGCATGCTTTGAGTACACATCATGGTAATCCGTCTGGCCCTGCGGCTTTGTGAATGTTGACCTTCTTAAAGGTCTTGCTCACATCGGCTACCGAGAGCATTATCACACAGTCGTCCGGAAAAGCTGGTGCTCTCATGCATGCCTCAGTGTTGCTTGCCTCGAAGTGAGCATAAAAGGCATTTAGCTCGTCTGGTAGGCTCGCGTCACTGGGCAGCTCGCGGCTGGGTTTCCCTTTGTAGTCCGTCATAGTTTTCAAGCCCTGCCACATTGTCTACAATTCTTTGCACTTTTCCCATTATGAGGACATGAGTTTTTATTATGTTAAATAACACAACCCATGTCCACGTTATGTGAATAATCTTACATTGAATGTATTAAAGCAATGTTCTTTGTTTTCTATGTGGATACATTGTGTATCTTTAATGTATTATGAATACATTGAACTCAAGTCATTAATCAAGATGCATGTCAAATATGGTACAGTAAAAACTGTCTTATGGGTGAAAAGTGTGTTTTGTATGCATCATCCCAGCCCTGTCACACCACTTTCTGTTCGTTTCGATGCGCCTTTACGTTTTTCCTTTGTAGCACTGATTCTGCAGATTATATCAGCTAGTTTGAAGAGTTTTACTTGCATTCTTTTTCTCACAGCTTTCCACCACACACATAGTTTGCACAGACTCACCAACGCCGAGGACTTGACGGGTCCAGTCGAGCTCCCAGTTCATCTGGTGTTGCTCTTTGTGAAGGGTATGTTGTCGTCAATCACATCTGCTTCTCATCTATTTTTACGACATCATCATGGGTATGAAGTACTGAAACCTTGCGTAGTTTCTCAATGACAGCAAAGGACTGATCACAGGGAAGAAATGAGTGCCCAAACACCATTAACTTTTGTTCCACTTGCGAGAAGTAACCCAATGAGTTGAGCAAGCACATTAGGTTCAGCATTCACCAGTTGTTGTTCTGGCCACAGCATCTGTCACTCTCTCTTGGCTTGACCAGTGGAGTAAACTTGGTCTGGACCCACTTCAGGACACAGCTTGCCACCTCTAAAGATCCCCTGTGGGCAACTCCTTCATGCCAGATGCACATAGTTTCAGGCTCCTCTGTTCCTAAGTCTTGAACCGAAAGGTTGTAGTTTGATAGCTGCCTTTGGTAGTAGATGTTGGTGTGAGATAGGCTAGGTGTGTACATCACACCCTGCAAATCTACACATCTAACATGGCAGTCACTGTTGGCTTTGGCCCACTCTGTGTCCTTTTGGAGCTGTGAGTATGCTTTCTCAGCTTTCCTGTGGTGCAGCTCACTCTCCGCCAAAACCTTTGTCCTCTCCTGTGGCTACTGATGACAGTTTTTTGTAGAATCTATAACATTTTAGAGCAATTGTCGGTGCTTTGTTGGCCAAATGTGATATTCTGCTGAGTGATAATGTCCCACTAGAGCCAGAATTTTGCCTTCGCCATGGGGTTCTTCTCTTTGTACAGCCTGTACATGTGGAACATATTAAGATCTGGACTGAGGTACTCTTGGCCTGCAAAACAGAAACAGTCAATACTAACAATAGGAGATAACATTATAATCTAGAGACAAAAATAATCAAAGCATATTGTGTTGGTAAAAAAAATGCAAGCGACAGGGACAAACATAATAACCCATGACATTTTACATTTACATTCTAGTCATTTAGCAGACGCTCTTATCCAGAGTGACTTACAGTTAGGTGAGTGCATACATTTTTCATACTGGCCCCCCGTGGGAATCGAACCCACAACCCTGCCGTTGCAAGCGCCATGCTCTACCAACTGAGCTACAGGAGGGCTATATATATATATTCATCTATTTATTCACTTATTTATTTATTGTGCTCTGAGATTGATTATCACATTGAATGAGAAATAATAAATAATGCAACACAGAACAACATAACATTGTTAGCTAGCTAGCTACATTAGCTAGCTAGCAAGCTAACTTGGTTGATATATGCTTCTTCCATGTACCTCTTTTGGACAACATTTGAGAGAAATAAGCTTTTTGTGTGTATGGAACATTTCTGGGATCTTTTATTTCAGCTCATGAATTATGGGACCAACACTTTACATGTTGAGTTTATATTTTTGTTCAGTACATATTCACATGCAAGTATGTGCAGCATGTGAAACAGTGTTTGATTGTGCATGTAAATCTGTGTACGTGTGTACACTAAGTAGGCTATTTTTGCATATGTGTATGTGTTGTGTGTGTTCATGTGTGTGTGCACGTGTGTGTGTGTGTATCTGCATATGCGTATGTGTGTGTGTGTGTGTGAAACCTTCTGAGCAATACCTATAAATCACCCTGCTGTACTATTTAATGAGACCTGCCTCCATGTAGCTAACACCCGGCCTACCCACCTCTTTCCTCTCTGCTCAGCTGTCTATCTCCCTGCACCTGGGCGGCAGGCACAGCACACACATGGTAGGCTAAAGTGGAAATGCTAAACAGGCCCGGCCCAGCACATGTCTGTATCATTGGGATTGGGAATCGATCTAGCCCCAATTTTCTGGTTCGTTTTAAGGGGCTCTGTAGTGTCCAAAAAAGCATAGCACAAAAAAACATATATTGCACCACATAAAAACACATCTAGTAAAGAGTAGAAAATATTGAATATTGCACAGATGTTACATTACCCAACCAGAAACCTCACACACAACACGAAAGGCTGGGGCACACTCAACTGGCAATGTTGAAAGGGGCAAAACAGACCAACAACTCCTACACATTTTCTCATTTTGTTCATAGCTCCCTTCTTCATATATATAAAAACAAAACATCCACCGACATACACAGAACATGACAACCTGTACATCACAACAAAAACCCCATCCACCGACCATCACACACCTGGCAACCCATTCTCTCCACGCCAGAGATCAGAGGAGGGCACCGCCCAGCCACAATGATCTCCCTGGTCACACTGGAGTAAACAGCCCATTATTTTATGGAATACGCCAGGAGGTGCCAATTCTGCAGGTACCAGATTACGTTTGGACCTGGCTAAATGTGGAAGCTTAACCATCCACTAGGGGCAATGTGAGCGCCTATTACCTTCTAGTAGGCTTGTAGCTTGCTAGGGCGTTGTGGATGGGGGATGGGCATTTAAGCCGCAGACTCAGGCTCCAAAGGTCACCTGTTCAATCCCAGTGCTAGACACTCGTTTGTTTTAAGCCTTTCCCAAACCTTAACCCTAAACTTAACCATACAGAAGTAATGGCTAAACTTAAGTTTTTGTTTAACATTTGCATAGTTTGACTGACAGCTAAGATACGGCACCACGTTACGTAATTAAAATGTCAAGCCATTGCATAATTATTTTACTGCAGTCATGACAAGGGCTGGCGTTTGATTTGGAGATTGGTGTTACCGAACATACATTGGTTAAAAGACAAAAATGCAATTGAATTCAGCAATATACCACATTACTTCTTGCTAGTAATACATTTATTGTTTTGGAAACATTACAAAGCATGTTCATCTGTATTTTGTGATTTATGGTGTAATAAAATCTGAGTGACCTGCTAGATTTTTTTCTTCTACCTGCTACAGCTGAACCAAAAGGTTAATTACACCCCCCCCCCCCCCCCCCCAAATGCACTTAACCCAAATGCACTTAGCTAGTAAAGGTCTTTGCATCACCACATAGAAGTCTTGGAGGCAGGAAAATAGGTAAGAGGAGACAGAATACTCTGATATTTATTGGATATGATTAATAATATTAATAAATACTAGCGGTACCCCACCTTACGGGCAATTAAATAATTGGAAATGAATCATTTGATTCAAGGCAATTTACCCCTCCTTTAAATAAATAAACAATTCAGCTGTTCATGTTTTTGATCTCTGGATATACAAATATTCTCAACTCCGGAGCATTAAAAAATTCCCATAGGCCTATTTCCCGTGGGATCATGGCACTTGTTTCTCTTTAAATTCAATGTTGTGATTGGCCTACCATGAACCCATGTTATCCATATACAGTCAGGTCCACTATTATTGGCACACTTGATAAAGATTAGCAAAAAATACTGTATAAAATAAAGTATATTATATTATTTTGTACTAATTCAATTGCTCAAAGAAATAGATTTTGTTTAACAAGTAATCGTTTTTTTTTTCTCACCCGTCTTCTATGCATTTCAATACCTGACCTTGCGATGATACCAGCACTGAGCCTTTTGTTGTTGTTGTTGAATTAACCATTTCTTTGTGGATTTTGATGTGTGCTTGGGATTATAGTCTTGCAGAGGCAACCAGGTTTTGGGCTAAAATGTCCTGGTACTGGGTAAAGTTCATGATGCCGTTGACCTTAACAAGGACCAGTGGAAGTAAAATAGCCCCATAACTTCAAAGATCCACCACAATCTTTCTTTCGACGCAAAACCCACCACTGATGTCTGTCTCCAAAGAGATCTTCTGACCATAGCACCGGTTCCAATCCAAGTGTCAATGCCGATTACCAAACTCCAGGCGTTTAGATTTCTTGGATGGCATGAACATTTTGCTCTTTGGCCAGAACCCCATACCTATTGTAAAATATGGTGGTGGATCTTTCACAAGGCCCCAAATGATGTTCAGAAGGCCCAAGATGATGTGAGACCCCAGACAATTGCCTGAGTAGCCTAATGGTATGTCTGCCACTGGGTATACCTATAGGCTATTTAATAATAATAATAATAATAATAATAATAATAATAATAATAATAATAATAATAATAATAATAATAATAACAATAATAATAATAACAATAATAATAATGGATAAGAAAAATAATGTCTAGACCCGATTTCCCAAAATGTTATTCTGCTACCAAATGTTTTTTTTAAATTTTTTTATAATAATTTATATCAACCCTAAATTGAATTATACATATTATCTTTTACAGAGTCACACATTATATAAGTTTACTTCCCAAGAAAAGTCACATTTCTTTGACTCCTCGACTTTAGAAGGTCGTAATTCAGCTTCTGAATGTCATAACGACAACCAAAGATATCCCATGTGCATGATTTTACCTTTTGTTTCTAGCCTAAAGCATTGCAGATTTATGCTTTGTTATAGATTGGTATATACAATTTGTAAAAATCAAAACAAGGAAGGTCCTGTGACCTCCCCAGAATACTTTGGCGCCCTCCTAGGGGGTGTGCAACCCCTAGGTTGGGAACCCCTGCTGTAAGGGGCATACAGGTTAGTGTTGAGGTCATTCTTGAATAATCACTCGCTCTTTTTGAAATAAAGTATTCTTAGAAAGAAGGTCACCTACCCAGCAGAAGTAATTTTCTGGTCACTCCATTACAGCCATTATTATGACCCGTCCTCCCCTCACCAGCCTCCTGTGGTATGCATGCATGACTGTAAGTCACTTTGGGTGAGAGCATCTGCTAAATGGCATATACTGTATTACAATACAACCAGGTAAAGATGTATTTTTCTGGTCACTAAAATGACCACCAGCATTTAACCTGACAGACGTCAGCCTGACGTCACTGCAACCAGTTTTGCCCGCTGTGTAATTATCTCCTGAAGCCTAATTGGAATGATTCACTTGGATAGATGATGTGCGGTGAGCATTATGGGTGGCTAGACACATTGCTTGTGGATGAGATAAGTTTCCCCTTTGTACAATTTAAAGCAGGTTGAGTATCTGGCTAAGCGCTCTACATCCAATCCAAACCCTTATCACTATCATTTGGTATTTGATTAGGATCCCCATTAGCTGTTGCAAAAGGAGCAGGTACTCTTCCTGGGGTCCACACAAAACATGAAACATGACATAATACAGAACATTAATAGACAAGAACAGCTCAAGGACAGAACTACATAAAACATTTTTTAAAGGCACACATAGCCTACATATCAATACATACACACAAACTATCTAGGTCAAATAGGGGAGAGGCGTTGTGCAGTGAGGTGTTGCTTTATCTGTTTTTTGAAACCAGGTTTGCTGTTTATTTGAGCAATATGAAATGGAACGGAGTTCCATGCAATAATGGCTCTATATAATACTGTACGCTTTCTTGAATTTGTTCTGGATTTGGGACTGTGAAAAGACCGCTGGTGGCATGTCTGGTGTAGTAAGTGTGTGTGTCAGAGCTGTGTGTAAATTGACTATGCAAACAATTTGGGATTTTGAACACATTAATGTTTCTTATAAAAATAAGAAGTGATGCAGTCAGTCTCTCCTCAACTCTTAGCCAAGAGAGACTGGCATGCATAGTATTTATGTCAGCCCTCTGATTACAATGAAGAGCAAGACGTGCTGCTCCATTTTGGGCCAGCTGCAGCTTAAATAGGTCTTTCCTTGCAGCACTAGACCACACGACTGGACAATAATCAAGATTAGACTAAACTAGAGCCTGCAGAACTTGCTTTTTGGAGTGTGGTGTCAAAAAAGCAGAGCATCTCTTTATTATGGACAGACCTCTCCCCATCTTTACAACCATTGAATCTATATATGTTTTGACCATGATAGTTTACAATCTAAGGTAACGCCA